TTGATTCTTGAATGTTTTTATGCTCTAGGGCACACAAACTCACAGTTATGCCCGTAGACGTCATAATGTGAATACTGCACCCACTTCATTCTCACGGATCGTTTGGAACCTCTGAGTCTGCGGAGGGACTTCGGTTCCCTCTGTATTTTGTACCGTATGTTCCATGGGGAGAGCTTAAGGAATTATTTGAGATGATGCCATCATCTCGTTTTTACCATCGCACCGCCCGCCACCGGAGTAGAGCTCATTCACACTACCTGGAGCCACTGCGTTCATCCACAGTGCATTTCCAGTTTTTTTTTTGCCACGTACCATCCGGCTTTGGAATGAGCTCCCGGTGTTTTCCGAGCTCTATCACATGTCCTTCTTCAAATGAGGCTTGTGGAAAGTGCCTAACGATAGGCAGGGGCTTGGCTCTGTCCCCGTTATTGCTGAAGTCCATGGGCGACGGTAACTACTCACCACTAGGTGGGCCGTATGCTCGTCTGCCTACAAGAGCAATAAAAAAAAACCTTGAGGTATGAGGTCTCACCTTCCAATGGGCAAGATCTTGGTGTCTGTTCAGCCATACACACAATGTTCTTTTTATTTATTTATTTTTATTGCCTAGATGTGTGGACGAGCTCACAGCCCACCTGGTGTTAAGTAGTTACTGGAACCCATAGACATCTACAACGTAAATGCGCCACACACCTTGAGATATAAGTTCTAAGGTCTCAGTATAGTTACAACAATAGAAATAGGCGGGGCGGTGGTACCTACCCGTGCGGACTCACAAGAGGTCCTACCACCCGTAATTACGCAAATTATAATTTTGCGGGTTTGATTTTTATTACACGATGTTATTCCTTCACCGTGGAAGTCAATCGTGAACATTTGTTAAGTACGTATTTCATTAGAAAAATTGGTACCCGCCTGCGGGATCCGAACACCGGTGCATCGCTACACACGAATGCACCGGACGTCTTATCCTTTAGGCCACGACGACTTCCAAACTTCTTCTTGCTGGATTCGAACCCCGGCATCGCTGTAGATATCACTTTTCCAGTACACTTATCAGTTGCGGCACTTCCGCTTGGCTAGTTGCACAAAAATATCAAATAGGTTCAAGTGTCGATCATCGTAATGTAGTAAAATAATTTATAATTTATTCCACATATTGATGTAATGAATAAACAATACTAATAATAACAATATGTGATGTGCCTGATAAACATGTCACGTACCTACCCAGTAGTGTTACAGTAAAAAGTCGTAAGCGACCCAATGGTACGGTCCTGACCACATTAACGATAAACTTCTCGAAATAACTAAAACAATTATAATTTGCGTAATTACTGGTGGTAGGACCTCTTGTGAGTCCGCACGGGTAGGTGCCACCATCCTGCCTATTTCTGCCGTGAAGCAGTGATGCGTTTCGGTTTGAAGGGTGGGGCAGCCGTTGTAACTGTACTGAGACCTTAGAACTGATATCTCAAGGTGGGTGGCGCATTTATGTTGTAGATATCTATGGACTCCAGTAACCACTTAACACCAGGTGGCCTGTGAGCTCGTCTACCTATCTAAGCAATAAAAAAATAAAAACAAATTTATTTTATCTTTACAAATAATTTCCTTTTAAATGATCAATTATTCAGAATGTGGCTCTTTTAATGTCTTTATTATCTCACGAATAATTTAAACTCGAAAAAGTTTTCCTGTGTTGTTGAATGCCTGCAAAATTCGGACATCAAATGAGACTAGAGGTCCCGCAGTAGTCGAAATTCGACTATAATTAATTGGAATTGTAAGTTTGTACACTATTATGATTGTATTTTATACTTCTATAATTTGACCACAGACGTCAAGAACAAAAGTTTGACAATAAATAGTATGCATGCGTGTGTACGTCAAATACATGGTATGTAGTGTGTGTAATCTTTTCTTTATTGATTTAATGTATTTTTTATGCATTAATTAAAAAAAATATTAGCATTGTGCACTTCTTCTCTATATTCTCTATAAGTGTGGAAAATTTCATACTCCTCCGTCCGCGCAATTTTCGTAAAAAGGGATACAAAGTTTTTGCTTCACGTATTAATATATAGATATAAGTTCTGTAAGTCAAAAGCTGGAGAAATATTTTTATAGATGCCACAATGCCGAGCATAGCGGCCTCCGTACATTTTTCCGGAGTGACTTATATATTTTCGCGAATCAAAGCGATATAAAATGATCCTTCTCCCGAGAGCACCATTTGGGCGCCAACGTGCCGCAAGGGAGGGGTGGATATGTCTTTGGACCGGCGCCCGACGTCGCGGCGCCGTCTGCCGACAGCGAGGAGCCTGTTATATAACCGACCCGGGAGTTTCGGAGGAAAACACGAGCGTTTGAGGTCTTGTGAGCATCGTCTTGGCTTTTTTGGCTTTGCAAGTGTATTAGGGTATTTGTGTAGAGCGCCAAAACGTTATGGGATTCGAGATCGCTTTTTCTTTTTGTTTGTTTATTGAAATATGACGAGAAAATTAATTGTGAGAGCGTTGAAAATTTGAGATTGTTTTTTTTGGTCAATGCGAAATAGTTTTTTTATTTTTTTATTTTTGATGTTAATGCACTGTCGATTGCACCTATAATTGAGGTGACATCTGCCATGAACTTTTGTCAATTTGTCAATGTTTTGTATTGATGATCACTTTGTTGGTGCAACTTATTAAATAAATAAATAAATAAATAAATAAATCGATGCGAGAAAAGCTATTTGGTTTAAGCGACATTTTTGCAACTTTTGACAAGCCAATATAGTTTTTTAAATTTGTTTTTTTTAAATTTTTATTTATTTTTTCTATACAGTAAACTGTCTTAAGACATTCAACCGTAGTTTTGAGAAAAACAATTTCTTAGGCGTTGCATGCACAATGTCCATTGACATGTCAGTTATGATCATATATCTATCGTTATCAAATTCGGAAAAAATAGCATAACAAAAAACTTACTTTTTTATTGCCTTTGTAGGCGGACGAACATACATGACCTGGCACCATACCTGATGGTGAGTGTTTACCGTCGCCCTTGGACTTCAGCAATGCCAGGGGCACAGACAAGCCGCTTGTACCGCTATCATCAGAATCATCGAATTGCTGATGCTAATACCAAATAACATGGAGATATAATTACAAAGATAAATTTCGCTTAAACCCAAATGGCCTTTTATCCCTCGGAATATTACGTCTATGATTTGTCAACATGCAGTTTTTTTTTTTATTGCCTTTGTAGGCAGACGGGCATACGGCCCACCTGATGGTGAGTGGTTACCGTCGCTTATAGACTTCAGCAATGCCAGGGGCAGAGCGAAGCCGCTGCCAACCGCTTAATACTCTCCACAAGCCTCGTTTGAAGAAGGACATGTCATAGCGCTCGGGAAACACCGTGGAGGGGAGCTCATTCCATAGCCGGATGATACGTGGCAAAAAAGATCTCTGGAAACGCACTGTGGATGACCGCAGTGGCTCCAGGTAGTATGGATGAACTCTACAACGGTGGCGGGCGGTGCTATGGTAAAAGGTATATAAGGTTTGAACCAAACTTCAACAGAGAGATGGTTGGTTCACGCAGACAAATCATACTAAATACCAATAATCGTTAACTGTGATTGATAAAAGATAACCATACTTAGTAAACAGTTTTATTAGTTGGGCGCATTGTGAGTAGGTACCGCTATCCTGCTTATGAATGCCGCGAAGCAATCACATTCCAGTTTGAAGGCTATAAGATATGTTGTACAACACAATTGAGACTTTGAACTCATATGTGTATGGTGTGCGTAACGCGAGTAGCCACATTCACCTTGTGATATCTATAAACTCTAATCTATATATTAATACGTGAATAAAAAACTTTGTACCCCTTTTTACGAAAATTGCGCTGACGGAAGAGTATGAAATTTTCCACACTTATAGAGAATATAGAGAAGAAGTGCACAATGCTAATATTTTTTTTAAATAATGCATAAAAAAGAAACATGACACACACTACCATGTATTTAACACACACGTGCATATGGTGTAGGACACTGGTGGTAGGACCTCTTGTGAGTCCGCGCGGATAGGTACCTCCACCCTGCCTATTTCTGCCGTGAAGCAGTAATGCGTTTCGGTTTGAAGGGTGGGGCGGCCGTTGTAACTATACTGAGACCTTAGAACTTGTATCTCGGGGTGGGTGGCGCATTTACGTTGTGGATGTCTATGGGCTCCAGTAACTACTTAACACCAGGTGGGCTGTGAGCTCGTCCACCCATCTAAGCAATAAAAAAAAAAAAAGGCTCCTAGGTATACTAGGTATACTCAAAAGGGAATAGCCTATTCCCTTTTGAGTTCCAGTACGTATTTAGGTTTCCTAGTAACGGCATCCGGATATCTTTAATCTAATTAATGTTTCGAATCGTTCCAATACTGCGTATCATACTCGGAATTAATTCAAATAGTTTGAAAATCACCGTCAAGCTTATTAAACTTTTCAGCGAATTATCTAAACTAGTGGTCCCGCAGTAGTCGAAATTCGACTACAATTAATTGGAATTGTAAGTTTGTACACCATTATGATTGTATTTTATACTTCTATAATCACAAATTTCGCCAAGGCTACACAATAAAAAATATTAACAAAGACAAACAATATTTAATCTATTCTCAATTTGACCACAGACGTCAAGAACAAAAGTTTGACAATAAATAGTATGCATGCGTGTGTGCGTCAAATACATGGTATGTAGTGTGTGTAATGTTTTCTTTATTGATTCAATGTATCTTTAATGCATTATTTAAAAAAAATATTAGCATTGTGCACTTCTCTATATTCTCTATAAGTGTGAGATATTTCATACTCCTCCGTCCGCGCAATTTTCGTAAAAAGGTATACTAAGTTTTTGCTTCACGTATTAATATATAGATTACGCAATAAAGCAACCGAAAAAAAAAAAATGTTTTCTTAGTAGAGTTTTAATTCTGTGCTCATTTTGTCCTCAGGTACAGAAGGTGTAATGTAAAGAAGACAGCTAACAACATTGTATATACTAGTGCCTTAATACAGCTAAACGTGTGCCTTTAAAGAAATATTTATTAGAAGAATATATCTAAAGAAACGAACGAAGCGAACAACGACACGGTAAGTGGAGCTTTCTCCCAAGTCCCCGGGACAACTAATTTAAGATGCTTTTGTTTATATAGACCGCGCAAAAACTAGCCCACTGAGTTTCTCGCCGGATCTTCTCAGTGGGTCGCGTTTCCGATCCGGTGGTAGATTCTGCGAAGCACGGCTCTTGCTAGGGTTCGTGTTAGCAACGTCGTCAGGTTTGAGCCCCGTGAGCTCACCTTTAAGACTAGCTTCGCCCCGCGGCGTCACCCGTGCTACGACCATAACCGCGGGTAACGTCGCGGGACTCGGCTATCAATAATAAAATTTAATGATTCCTAAGTGAAGCGAGGGCGGGTCGCTAGTTCTAAATAAAATCTGCCTAATTTCTGCAATGGCAAGTTCAACACATTCGTAAGTTGTCTAGCAAAATATTTGTAGTGAATATTGGGATGTGTGAGAGGAAAAAAAATTATGTACATCATAAAAGAAAATAATAATCGATTATAATTTGCAGTTTTTAATCACATTGAATTAAGACATAATATAGTGTTAATAAAAACAATAAAAAAGTAGGAAAATACTTGATGAAACTATATTATCGGGGTGGAAGTAATTTATAAAGTAAATATGTATTTCACTAGGGATATTGGTACCCGCCTGCGGGTTTGAACACCGGCAAAGTCACATCGCTCAATGCGTGTACACAGAGCATCTTATCCATGCCGTGATAGCTTCGACTTGTTTAAATATAGAAGATATGCAGCGGCTTGGCTCTGCCCCTGGCATTGCTGGAGTCCATGGGCGACAGTAACCACTCACTAACAGGTGGGCCGTATGCTCGTCTGCCTACAAGAGCAATAAAACAAAAAAAAGGTGTGTGATGTCGTGAGATACCGGATAGGAACGAAGTTCCTTATTATAAAAATATTAATTTAAAGTTCTATTCGAGGTATAAAGAAAATAAAACTGGAGGTTTCGCAACAACCCACGGTCATTCGGTAACGTGCGAACTTATTGTGGTACACTTCATTCACGGTTGTTTGCATAAGAGTTAGTGTATTGCGCAAACGAACGCTCTGAGATCGTGGTCAATGAATGATAAAAAAATTTGTTATTTTTTGTACGTTATTACAAAGTCAAGTCGTACACTGTGTGCTTTACTAATTTGTACGTTATTACAAAGTTAAGTTGTACATTGTGTGCATTACTAATAAAAATCTTACGTACGGACGTTTTTTCCCGGTTAGGGTACCCCTCCGCACGGTCCTATAAGGAACTTCGTTCCAAAAAATGCATCTAAAAAATATTAAAAAACAATTACCTACAACAAAAAAATTATTCCTCAAAAATTCTCCCTCTAAAATACTGAGCAATTTTTTCAAATGTCTTTCAATGCACCCCAGCATGAGGTCAATGTGAGACTGTGCGCGTTGAGTAAAACATATTACACGACTTAACTTTGCATGTCCCGTGCATTAGTTGAATATCGATTCAGTCGTGGGTCGCTGCTGTTTTGATTTTAGGCAACACATCAGTTTTCATAACGAGATCTGTTAAGTTTTTTTTTTAATATCCGGCTTCTAAATTACATTCCCATCATCAACTTATCTCCCTGGTTTCGATTCTCTTGGGGATATTTCGTGAACTACTTATTGCTAGTACTACTTATTGGAAACAATATATGAAAAATCATCAGCGGAAGATAACGATGATGCCCAATGATCACTGTATGGATTGTTAGCTTGTCTATCATCGTAGGGCTTAATACTATTAAAAATATTAGTGGTGCGTGTATGAAAGTTGATATGTGTAAGAAAGGAGTGAGCGAAGAAATGGTATATGATAGAGGAGTATGGCAATAGAAAACATATTGCGCCGACCCCAGGTGACTGGGAGAAGAGCAGGAGAGTGATGATGAATAATACCTACTAGTGGTGTTGTGATCTCGCACGAGTAGATAGATAGATTTTCACACACTTCAAAGTATGAATTCTTAATACAAAGTGCTAAAAAAGTCATTTCTAGATTTTAATAATGAAACGAAAATGATGATTATTATTTTCAAATTACAGCAATAAATACTGTACGCTTTTCTACAATCAAATTAATAATTGTGTTCATAACTTAATTCTAATTTTCTAGATTTTTTTGTAATAATCGTAAGGTTTACGCCCATCACTGTCGCAAACCACTTAACCTTTCCATACTCTCGATATAGATTCATTCGCTAAACAGCTACTCTTGAATTGTAAGATCTCTCTTGGAGGCGCTCGGGTAGCTGTTAGCAAATCCCACCCCTCCTGGCTGAGCCCTTGCTCGCCCACCTGTCCTGGTGAAACTGGAAAGGTCTCTGGGACACCAGTAATCCCTCAATCTTAAAAAAAAAAAACTTTCGATATTAAAAAAACATTTTCTACGTATTTTAAAACTATTATTTACGTTAGCATTGTTATATATTTTATCCCATTTGGAATTGCAATTAATAGATACGTTACTTAGGTAGCTAATACAAAAAAAAATTGGGGATATGTTCACATTTGTAACTACAGTATCTAATCATAGACTGTAGGGTATCAAATTACAACATTTTTCAAAAAAGTTAATGTGACTTTGAAAAAAAAAGAGCTAGATTTTTTTTATTATTTTCCCATGGGTAGTTATTGATCCGACCATACACCGGTACCGGCTTATAGTTGAATTTAGGGATACGTTGTATAATTACGTCGCGTAGAACGTAGTACACGCCTAGAGAAATTGCAAACATTAGTAAGTTGTCATAAGTCGGGAACCTCTTGAATGATATCTATCTACACTCGTGTCCTCTGGACCACATTTGATCAAACATCGTTCTCTTATTACGTGAACACAAACTGTTGTTATAATTATCAGTGACAGTCGCGTTCAACATTAAGTGTCGCCTACCAAGAAGGGTTTTGCGCATCCCAATTATTAAAATCAACATCACCCGCCTCTAATGTCGTGCCACTCAATTTATTCTCAAAATAAACAGCTTTATGATTGCCTTTGGGGACGTCGACTAGGCGACACGGTAGGAGAAATGTATGGTGGGGATTCTATTATCGTAGAGAGATGAGCAGAAACAGCATCTTTCGATCATCGATCGCAGATACATCTTTTTGAAGTGAAACTTCTTTAGGCGCATGAGGGTAAAATTTTTACAGAACGTCACGCAGGTATGCTACGGAAGCGACATCAAACTACTATTGAAATTAAGTACTTGTCAAATGTCAGTAGTAGTTGTTGTTGTATTTTTCCAACTGGAAAGGCAAATGTATCATACCGTAAGCCTAATATTTTATTTTTTTTTTTGTGAAAAATGTTAATAGGAATTGAAATGAAATGAAAAGAATTTGGAACATTAATCAAATAGCATGAAATTAAATTAGTCAATTCAATTGGCAAAATATTAGTCGTTTACAATTTAGAAATCTAAACATAATGTGACTGTCAACACTGAGGTTTGAGATTGACATTTGACAGACTTTTGGCGGGAACATATCTTCCGTTTTCCCTTCCTCTAAGTCTCGGAAATCTAAAGTTTTAGATTTGTATAAATATCAGCAAGACTTATAAATTAGTTCGCCAAAAAAGTTTACTTCTGACATGTGTACTTTGTACGCACGCACTTTTTTTTTTATTGCCATTGTGGACAGACAACCGTACGGTCCAGTTGATGGTGACAGGTTAGCGTACAGCATGGGGCAGAGCCAAGCTGCTTCCTACCTTTATACTGGTAGTAGGATGTACTTTTAGCTGTTATATTGCCTGTTTTAATAGCGAAACAATAATGCGTACAACAGCAGTACCAACACCGTTGAGTCTTTAACTTCATTACCTAACCACCCTGCCTATTTCTGCCGTGAAGCAGTAATGCGTTTCAGTTTGAAGGGTGGGGCAGCCGTTGTAACTATACTGAGATCTTAGAACTTATATCTCAAGGTGGGTGGCGCATTTACGTTGTAAATGTCTACGGGCTCCAGTAACCACTTAAAACCGGGTGGGCTGTGGGCTCGTCCACCCATCTAAGCAATAAAAAAAAAACCAGGCCCACAGCAACTTTAAGGTGGACCCTTGTCCAGTACCGACAAACTGGACAGTTGCGAGACTTAGCGAGCAGATGTTTCTATCTTACAATATTCCGTATTGGTCAGGATCCGTATTAGAATTCTTACATTTAACGGGACCCGGGCTGAGAAATCAGAATATAAAATATCTTACGCTTAACATAAGGCATTAGAATTGTGGTATGTGTGACCTTTGGTAACCTGTGAGCGATACGATGATAATAAGACGATCTGTAACAGTACATGTGTCGAATTCAGCTCGTCCACCCATAAAAGCAATAAAAAAAAAATGTCTACTCGGATAAGTGAGCGAGTTGTATAAATACGCGTATTGTTCGTCGTGCAGGCAGATAACAGCGCAGTAAGTGACAACTCGCGTACACCCACTGACACACGCGGACCCTTCCCGTCGCTTCGGCTTACTTCCAACCCGGCGCCCTGTTCGCTTCGCTGGACAAATATTCATAAGTTATTTACAGCAGTGGCTTCGCAATTTTACAATCACTAAATTAATGTTTTATCTATCTATATATTAATACGTGAAGCAAAAACTTTGTATCCCTTTTTACGAAAATTGCGCGGACGGAGGAGTATGAAATTTTTCACACTTATAGAGAATATAGAGAAGAAGTGCACAATGCTAATATTTTTTTTAAATAATGCATAAAAGATACATTAAATCAATAAAGAAAACATTACACACACTACATACCATGTATTTGACGCACGCACGCATGCATACTATTTACTGTCAAACTTTTGTTCTTGACGTCTGTTGTCAAATTGAGAATAGATTAAATATTGTTTGTCTTTGTTAATATTTTTTATAGTGTAGCCTTGGCGAAATTTGTGATTATAGAAGTATAAAATACAATCATAATAGTGTACAGACTTACAATTCCAATTAATTATAGTCGAATTTCGACTACTGCGGGACCTCTAGTT